GTTTATCATGGTGAAGACAGACACAGTGTCCCACACATGTTCTGTGGGATCTAGTATCTGGAAGCAGGCAACCATCTCCAATGTCCAATGTCGTTCACTTTCTTAGGTAGACACGGGATTGTTTTATTTTGTGATTTCAAACTTTCACTTACTTCCCCCATAACTCCGTAAATAATATGCCCCTTAATTTAATCAAAATATTTCTAGAGCACTATTGTCAATGGGGCATCTGTAAGGCATATGTATATCTAGGCAATGTGCCTGGAATTTGGAAATACATTAGTCGTCAGTTGTCATTTGATGATGGCAGGACCACCAACATTTCTTCAGGGATTTCTTTTCCCTTCCCTTGAGGCATTTGCGTGATCATGGCATGTGTATTAATGGATGGATCTATCCACCGGGTTTTGCAAGGTACTACCTAGGTCTTATCCACATATTATAACTGAATTTGAAATAAAAGTCATTTCCAGGTTCAGGTAGGATGGAGTAGATCTCAGAGGAACAACACTAACATTGCAACAAATGCAGAGGAGAAGAAAAAAAAACAAATGTAAAAATCATGTTTATGATGAGATCAGAGAGCCATGAAGAAATGAGGACAAGATGATCTACAATTCCAGAGACAGAAAGTGTGTTGTAGGTGGTGAGATGTTCTCCTATTATTTTATACCCTCATGGAATTTGCAAAATCTGAATGTGGGCATGTCCTTTGGCTTGACCCAGACAGGTGGTTCTGCTGGGGAAGAGAATACAGCTGAGCTTGGGAGGCTGCAGGAAGCTGCTTTAATAGATCAGCCAGAAGCGAAATGTTACCCCCAGGGGGGATTTCTCCTGGGAACATCTGCTGAAGTCTGGCATGGGAAATATGGCTGGGCCTCCAGGCCAGAAAGACAGAGTAAACCTCCCTCATTGTCCTGCATTTACCCCCTATAATGCTGCACTGATTGTTCCTATGTCTCAGACTTGAGCCTTGGCGACCACCACTGCATCCCTGGCCAACCTTCCCAGCTCTGGCCCTGCCTCTGGTCACCATCCTCTTTGTCTACATGGTTTCTCAATCATCATTTTTCTCAAATCATCCCAGACATACACTGGGGTAGAATCCCATTTTGGAAGTTCACCCATGCTCTCCTTGCTTACATAAGAATGTATGATAGATCTAGGTTAGGAATGAGGTAGGAACTTCACTAAACTTGGAGTCACGAAGAACCTAGTGTGCCACCACTAGAGCCACCATTTTTTGTGTCACTGGCAGTATCAGCAGGGCATTGCCTGGGAAGCCAGGCAGTGGTCCCTTCACTCTGTCATCTCCCAGGAAGTACATCTGACTTTCCATGGGGATTCAAATCTGGACCTCAATCCCACCAGCATTCCCTCCCCAACACACACAATCCCCAGAGCCGGGTCTTGTTGGAAGAACTAAACTCCATCACGTGTCTTCACAGTCACATTACTGCCCCTGCATGAAAACTTAAGTTTCTGATTGCAGCAGGAACAACCTTGGCTTTTATATTTTCTTGTATTCATTCAAATTCTGCTGACTAAGGAATAATTTTATGCTCACTCATTGCTCTGACTTGTTACTTTATATATAAAATCCAGATTTGGAATTCAGAAATCCCAGTTGACTTCAACTTAATTCGATTGAGATTTTTCAATAACTTCTGCTGTTCGGTCTTTGTTTATGAAATGTTTATTAAGTTTATCTTGTTCAAAAATACGGAGTAGAATAATTTATCTCAGTTCCTACAATGAGGACAGTAATACACATCAGTGACTGTCCCAGCAGGACAGAGAAAGGCGCTAGGACAGAAGGTGATGGAGGAGAAGATAACCATGTCTTATTATTACCAAATATCCTCCTGCTGCTGGATTCTGGCAGCTATCAAACCTAACAAAACCAAAAATGTGTATTTTTTGTGTGTAGCCACCAATCAGACACAATGTTGGGGCTGAATGAAATTAAATGATGAGTGTATGCAGTATGGCAAGGACTAGCATTGAATGTTTACTCAGCTCTCCCTTCTGATGCCTCCAGTTGCTCAGAGGGAACTCAGGCCCATCCACTCTGCTATAGGGTCCTCCATGTCAAGGCTGTTGCTGTGGAGGAGAAGTAACCTGTGGTGCCTAAGGGGTACCCAGCACAGGCACGGTCTAGTGCCCTCAGCTGCACACAACTCCCCAGAGCTCTCCAATGCCTTCTTCTTACACTCTGAGAGTCTGTTTTGCTTAGTCCCCAGAGAAGTAATACATGTGAGCACCTGGTCCCTGCTCCAGGTGGGGACATGTGTGTGAAGGGCTGACCCAAGGTGGGAGGATACTGTGTAACTTGCTGGAATTGATAAACCCCCACATCGTCAGCCTCCACCCTGCTGATCCTCAGGGTGAAATCTGTGCCTGACCCACTGCCACTGCACCTGCCTGAGAGCCCAGAGTAAGAGTAGGAAACCAAATAAATGAGGTCTTGTGGAGACTGGCCTGAAGGCTCTAGGAAACAAATAGGCGTTTCCATCACTGCAGGAGGCTCTGCCTGTCTCTGCAGGAGATGGAGGCCAGCTCTCCAGGGTGACTAATAGGGAGAATAGGGTTTATGTCATCACAACACCCCCATTAGGTCCTAAAATAATGAGAGAAGTGCAAGATGACATAGATATATTATGAGCCATTTTCATCATTTTGTAAAGGATTTTATTTACTTATTTGTCAGAGAGAGAGAGAGAGAGAGAGAGAGCACAAGCAGGAGAGCAGCAGGAAGAGCAGATAGAGGGAGAAGAAAGCTCCCTGCTGTGCAAGGAGCCCGATGTGGGACTCGATCATGACCCGAGCAGAAAACATCTTTAACCGACTGAGCCACCCGGGCGTCCCCCACATTCATCATTTTACTTGCTAAATGTTTCAGGCTAACTTACATTTCTGTGATTTTGACTTACAGATCAAAAATGTCCCATTCCAAGAAATTACAAAAATTTTCAGACACAAGGGGGTCTTTAGAGTTCTCCTGCAACATCCCCTTCTTTCAGTGCCACAGGCTTCACTACAGCACAGACCCTTCTTCTTTTAGATCCTTCTCATTCTCATAGATTCAAACATCTCATGCCACTTCCCTGACACCAAGAAATATGTATTCAAAAGTGTGCAGAGTAAACAAGGAGAAAGCACTCAAACATGGTGCTCCCCGAGATCACCTTCCCCACCCATTCTCCTTTTACATACCCCACTCTGTCCTTATTTGGGATCCAAGGCATTAGTAGGCCAAGGAAAGAGCAGGGAACCTCCTTTTGAGAAGTTGAACTGATGACTTCTGGTAATTCAAAGCAAGGTTCAAGCTCTCCTTTTATGTCAGACATGCAAGAGGCTCCTGCCCAGGGAACAATTATGCAAACCTTCCTCTGCTTGCTGCCTTGCTGCTTGTGGAGAGAGCCACTAGTGGGTGAGGGGACCACTGAAGTGAGCCAAGTGAAGGAAAATAGTTTCCTCTTGGAAGAAATCCAATGGAGATACAGTCCTTGCTGCCAGCAGTACTAGGAAAAGCATCTAGTTGTCAAAGTATAATTCTGGGCAAAGACACAGTGCGTATTTTCCTGCCCTCTAAGAAAGCATCAGAAACAATGACAATGTACAGATGTGTGTGCGTGTCAGTCTTCTGGAGGTCAATGAATACCTTGCTTGGCTCCTTCGAATCTAATCTTGAGAAGAAACCAGCTCCCTCGTCCACTGTAAAGACCTGACAGTTGGCTTTCTCATTATTGTAATGCTACCGTCTGACTTTCTCTCCCTCTGTCTGTCTGTCAGTGTTTCTTTCCCTGTCTACCAGTGAGCTTGCTGTGCAGCCCCAGATATGACTGTCTCCTCTAGGAACATTGAGTAATAAACCTTATCATTCCAAACTCCCTGAAGGAAATCAGATTGCTGGAGATAGCTACACTCCCATGTTTATTGCAACATTATTCACAATAGCAGATGACCTAAGTGTCCTTCAGTGAATGAATGGATAAGGAAGTTGTGGTATACGCACACAATGGAATATTATTCAGCCATGAATAAAATGACATTCTTCCATTTGCAACCAATTGGATGGACCTTGAAGTCATTACATTAAGTGAGAGAAGTCAGACAGAGAAAGACAAATATTCTATGGCATCACTTATATGTAGAATCTAAAAGAGCTAAACTCAAAGAATAGAGTAAAATGGTGTGTCCAGGTGCTGGAGAGGTAGGATGGGAAACCAGGGGAGATGTTGTTATTTAGGAGCATGATGTACTTAAAAGTAAAATGGCCAGTATTTGATCAATAAAATGAGTTTATTAGGAATAGGAGAGGACAAGAAACCTACGATAAATCCTAGGCAAGTCTAAAGAGACAAAGGAAAGGTCACTTAATTAGGGTTTAGGAGGAAAGAGAGGAGGGTGTTTTAGACCAGATGTCACTGGAGAATAACAAAAGTCCCATTGGCAACAAGCAGTGGTTTGTGTGGAATTGCCCACCTTGGATAAAGGAGGGGTTTTTTTTTTCTTTTTTTTTTTCTTTTTTTAATCAGGGATAAAATCCCCTATGTGAAAATGTCCTCTCTTGTCAAAATAGCTCTTTTTATTCTTATTAGCAATATTAGATTTTATTCTATTTTTAAAGTTTTTATTGAAATTGCAGTCAACAGTCTATCTGGTATTGGTTTCAGATGTACAATATGGCGATTCCACACTTCCATACAATACCAGGTGCTGAAAACTCTCAAACACCAGCATGGATTCTATTTGTTTTTCCAAGAATGGCTTCAGTTGTCTGGATTTCCTGTTACATTTGACTTCCAACATTACTCAAGTCGGGGAGAATCAGATGAACTTTCATTTATCTCTTCCCTTGTCCTGAGTGGTGGCTCAGATCTCACACATTCTCCCTGACAGGCATGTCATGCCCAGGATTTTTCAGCTGACAAGCCCATAAAGGATGGTGCTGGGGGACAGCTGAGGTCCTCAGGGTCCATATCCCACAATCTCAACTATTCCTTGAGCTCCTCATCATCTCCCTCTTGCACTGACAGGGAGACTCTGCTCTGCCTACTCCCCAGACAAGCAACACATGTGTGGGCAGCTGGGCCACCCCACCAGGAGGTTTCTGTTCTAGGCTGAACCACTGTGTGAGGAGCATATAAACTTTGCCCGCAGTAATAAACCCCCACATCATCAGCCTCCACCCTGCTGATCCTCAGGGTGAAATCTGTCCCTGACCCGCTGCCACTGAACCTGTCTGGGACCCCAGCGAAACGGTTAGTGGCAAAGTAGATCAGAAGCTGTGGAGACTGGCCTGGCTTCTGCAGGTACCAAGGCAAATAATTGTATCTATTACTGTGCAGGAGGCTCTGACTGGCCCGGCAGGAGATGGAAGCCGGCTCTCTGGGACTGATGGACAGGGACAGTGGGGTCTGTGTCAATACAACTTCCCCACTGGATCCTAAAGGAAGAAGAGAAAATTGCAAGGTTAAGTGCAAACATTGTGGGTAATTACCATAATTTTCCTTTGTTTTTTATTTCAAACTAAAAGGCCTTTTAAGAGAGCTGGATTCAGAACTCAAAAATTTCCAATTTCAAAAAAGAACCAGAGATTGGCAAAAATAACAGAAGTCTCTAGAAATCACATAAGCCCTCCCACTCTTCAGTGCCATGGAGTCACCAGAGTACATACAGGTCATTTTCCCTCAGGACTCTTGCTCTCCCACAGATCTAAAAGTCACAAGCCCCATCCCGGTAGGAAGACATCCATCTTACATGGAAACAAAATTTATGTGGGAAACTGGTGCCCTCAGGGTTCATCCTGCCTTCCCATTTTCCTTCCTCCTTAGGAACCCTGTTCTTACCTGGAAACCAGAGTATGAGGAGCCCCAGGAGCTGAGCAGGGAACCTCATTTTGACAAGTTAAAGGGATGAGTCCTGGTAGGTCAAGACAAGTTGAGAGTTGATCTTTTATCTCAGACTGGCAAGGGAGGGTCCTCCCTAGGGGACAACATGCAAATCCCGTGGGTGCAGCCAAATGGAAAGAGCCAGCCAGAGAGGGGTATGACCTCTCATGTGAGCAGAGTGACATAAGATTGTCTTTGCTTGAAGCAAAACTAATAGAGATGCATTCTATGCTGCCTGAGTGGTAGGAGGGACATATTTAAATGTTCCTTCCATTTCCCTGCTAGATTTCTACATCTTCAGCTGTTTCTAGGCACATTTCACACTTGTATTTTAAAAGGTAGACCCTGAGTAACCACAGCAGTCTTGAGAAAGAAGAACAAGCTGGAGGTATCACAAAACTGTACTATGAAGCTAGAGTAACCCAAACAGTATGGGATTGGCATTGAAATAGACATAAAAGTCAATAGAACAGAACAGAGAGTACAGAAATAAACCTATGTTTATATATTCAATTAATCTATGACAAAATAGACAAAAGCACACAATGGGGACCTCTCTTCATTAAACACTGTTGGGAAAACTGGACAGGTGCATGTGAAAGAATGAAATTACACCACAGGCCAAAATAAACTCAAAATGGATTAAAGACCTAAGTTGAAGACCAGACATTCTAAAATTCCTTGCAGAAAACAGGCAGTAATCTCATTGACATTAGCCCTAGAAACATTTTTCTAGGTATGTCTTCTTAGGCAAGGGGAGAAAAAGAAAAAATGAACTCTTGGGTCTACACCAACTGAAAAACTTTTCCACAACAGAGGGAACCATCAACAAAACCAAAAGGTAACCTAGTAAGGAAAAGATATTTGCAAATGATTCATCCAATAAGGGGCTAAAACCCAAAATACATAAAATATGTTTAAAACTAATCACCAAAAAACAAATAATTTTATTAAAAATGGACAGAGACTCTGAATAGACATTTTTCCAAAGAAGATCAGGGATGGCCAACAGACACATAAAAAGATACTCAACATCATAAATCATCAAAGAAATGCAATTCAAAACCACAATGAGATATCCCTTTCACCTGCCAGGATAGAAAGTATAAAAAAGAAAGGAAATAACAAGTGTTGGTGAGGATGTGGAGAATAAGGAGCCCTGTGCACTGTTTGTGGGAATGTACATTGGTGCATCCACTGTGAAAAACAGTATGGTGTGTAAACAGCATGGAGTTTCCTCAAAAAATTTTTAAAAATAGGAATAGCACTCAATCCAGTAATTCCACTGCTGGGCATTTACCCAAAGACAATGAAAACACCAGTTTCAAAAGATAATATGCAACACTATGTTTACTGCAGCAGTAGAGCCAAATATGGAAGAAACCTAAGTGTCCGTCAATAAATGAATGGATAAAGGAAAGGTCATATACACCTACAATGGAGTATTACTCAGCCATAAGAAACAGTGAAATCTTGCCCTTTGTGACCACATGGATGGACCTAGAGGATAGTCTGCAAAGTGAAATAAGTCAGACAGAGAAAGCCAAATACCATATGATTTATTTGTAATTGGATCCAGAAAACAAAACAAACAAACAACAAAATGTAGAACCCAGACTATAAATACAGAGAACAAACAAGTGTCTGCCAGAGAGGAAGGAGGTGGGGAGATGGGAAAGATGTACGAGGGGATGGGAGGTACAGGCTTCCAGTTGTGGGATGAATAAGTAACAGGGATGAAAGTACAGTGCAGGCAACAGGGTCAATGGTATCACAACAGTGCTCTATGGTGACAGATGGGAGTGATATTGTGGTGAGTAGAGCATAACATACAAGTTCTTGAGTCACTCTGTTGTGTACCTGAAGCTGACGGAACACTGCATGTCAACTAGATAGACTTCAGAGCCTGGGTAAGTAAAAGAAAAGAAAAGGGAATTCCAAATGTGTAAAGGCAGGAAGAGAGTGGACACCATAGAGCAATGCAATAAGAACTCATACTGTTTTCTTATTTTAAATAATTTTGATTACATATTTCCATGTATTTTGAAATCATTTAAGACTTACAAGAAATTTCAAAAGTATCAAGATCATTTCCATACAATCTCTCCAGCTTTCCTTAATGTGTACAGCTCACATAACCTTACTATAAGTAACCTTAGCCAGGAAATTAACATGGATACAATGCTATTAACTAAGTAATGATCCATATTTGGATTCACTAAGTTTTCCATTAAACCCCTGTGTCCTGGGATAAAGGATTCCTTGAGCTACTTCGTACTAAGGAGACTGAGACACCAATCACATGTTAGGATTGATGCCCTATCAGGATTCACAGAATTAGGACACTGTTCTGACAATCTCCCCTGAAAACTATGGAAGCATACCTCTACTGCACTTTTTTTTTAAAGATTTTATTTATTTGACAGATCACAAGTAGGCAGAGAGGCAGACAGAGAGAGAAGGGAAAGCAGGCTCCCTGCTGAGCAGAGAGACTGATGCGGGGCTCTATCCCAGGACGCTGAGATCATGACCTGAACCAAAGACAGAGGCTTAACCCACTAAGCCACCCAGGTGCCCCTGCTGCACTTATTTCAATAAAGAGATGATTTTCCAACCTTTTATTTCTGATCTAATCAATGAGATTGTGTCTTTTGAGGATTGTGCAAGGTAAAAATGAGGGGAGGGTGCAAACGTGTACAGCAAGGAGGATGGTAGAGCAGGGCCAATCAGACTTACTGGATATAGTGAGTCTGACTTAGGCTTTTGGGAAAAAATGCTCCTCCTGGGACTCAGCACTGCCTATAACACAGTGAACGTGCACTGAGGGTGGGAGTGTGGCAGTGATATCAGGGCAGAGCAGACCTGTGCTCTTGGTGCCAAGGAGAGCAGGGGTCATTCCTTCAGAGATCAGCATTGCCTAAAGTTGAGGGGAAGAGCAGTCAGCATGGAACCATCTGTGAGCAGCCTCAGCCACGCTGACCCAGACACTTTTTACCTAAGGAGGATATACACATGGCTGGGATGGTCCAACTGTGAGGTCAGCTGGGCAGGCCAACTTTTGGGATGAATAACGAGGTTCCCCACATGTCATGGAGGATCAACACTGGAAGAGAAAAAAGTCACAAAGTGATTTTTGATTTGATCTTGAGAGATGTCCCTTCTGCCCAGTTTTCCATGCTGGCTGAAGCTACTGGTATCAATCTAACCAAAGCCCCGTTTCATCAGTCACCCTATTGGTCACTGAGAGGTTGTGTGCATAGTTCTGAAGTGTGGGGAAACCAGAGTACACCAGTTCTCTCTCTGACACCAGTGGTGACTGTGGATGTGAGCAAGTGTGAGTCTGGTCTGGTTGACAGGTCCCCAAAGCCATGGCCATAAGCCCGTGAGAGCTTACAGTCTTCCCACTGTCTCAGACCTGGGTGAGGAGCACCTTGCGTGGTGTCCTGATGGCCCGTCAGTGACTACTCCACGCTCCTTTCCTTTGCCAGAGGGACCTCTCACCACAAGTCTTTCTCACGTGTGTTCTCTGGGTGGGCCATTTCCCCAGAGTTACACTCTGCCCAGGACAGTATTTGATGGAGGGAACTTGTTTTCTGCTGAATCAATTATGTCATTTTGGAACCTTCATTAAGTGAGATTTTCCCTGTCTCTATGGACTCTGATGGAAACATGGGCAGCAGGAGGAGATGTGACATTATCCCTGGGTGGAAAGGGGAATCTCTGAGATGTAATCATAAGTGCCAGCAGGAAATCTAACACCTAGGGATCAGTCTGGGCTCTTGGCCATTAACGCCAGACACAGCCAGAGTCATCCAGGGATCCCTATGGTACCTGTGCGCCCTCTTGTGACCATGGGGAGGGAGTCATCCGGAGGGTTTTTTCCTTGTTCTTGGACAATACCACTTATAAGATAAAGTGAAATTATTTCTTGTACATTTTCAAACATGTCTTACTTCTGAGACCTGTAACAAATGATAATTGTTTTCCAGGTTCTGTGTCAGAGTGTGGCCTCATGTACACATGAGGTAGTGATGCATAGTTTTAAGTTCTGAATTGTGATTTCCCCATCATGTTTGGGATCCAAAGACCTCTGAGGCCACCCAAGATTTGGCTGCTCCACAGCTTAGGAAAGGAGTGACTGCAGAGTCATGAGAATCGGGGTCTAGAGCGATTCAGTCTCTCTGTGCATACACTGCATTTCATTTCGCTCTCTCAGGGTTCTGTCTGGGGCTGGCTCCAGAAACTCTCGCTGGCTGTCCCACTCCCCTGGGAAGGACTGCGAGCGCAGAGTGATGGCTGCACATGAAAACTGGTCTTCAAGTTCTCAGTCTGAGTGGATCTCGCCTTCACGCCTTTCAGTGATCTTAGTGGAACAGGGTGGTGACCGCCAAGTGTAGGGGAGGGAGGGGACACCCTCTTCTGGGTCTTACACTGATCGTATCTGGCAATTTTCAGTAGGTTTAAAGCAATATATGTTGAAATCACAATGTGTTGTCCTAGATCTGTATTGAATAGAGGCCGAGAGTAGACCCTTTCTTTGCTGCTCTGCTTCCAAGTTCCACAAAGGTGATGGGCCTCCCATGTTTAGGGCTTTGTGGGTGTCCTCTGCATGTGTCCCTTCACCTCTCAGCTGGTCCCCATCCCCAGTGCTGTCCCAGCATACCAGCTAGTCCAGTAGGTCTCCCAGTGTTTGGTCTGAAATTGAATGAGTGCGGGGCGCCTGGGTGGCTCAGTGGGTTAAAGCCTCTGTCTTCAGCTCAGGTCATGATCCCAGGGTCCTAGGATCGAGCCCCGCATCAGGCTCTCTGCTCAGCGGTGAGCCTGCTTCCCCTTCTCTCTCTGTCTGCCTCTCTGCCTACTTGTGATTTCTCTGTCAAATAAATAAGTAAAAAATCTTTAAATAAAAAAAAAGAAAGAAATTGAATGAGTGCTCTTCTCAACCTGTAATGGAGGACCTTACAGTTTATGAAACTATAATTCAGACAATTCAATGAAACCACTTTTTAATAATTCTTTTATTTTTGTATTGTTATGTTAGTCGCCATACAGTCCTTCATTAGTTTTCGATGTAGTGTTCCATGATTCATTGCGTATAACACCCAAGTGCTCATTGCAATATGTGCCTTCAGTAATTCCCATCACCAGCTAACCCATCCCCCCAATCCCTTCCCTCTAAAAACCTCAGATTGTTTCCCAGAGTCCATAGTCTCTCTTACTTCATCTCCTCCTCCAATTTTCCCACTTCATTTTCCCTTCTCTCTCCTAATGTCTTCCATGCTATTCCTTACATTCCACATGTGATTGAAACCATGTGATAATTATCTTCCTCTGCTTGGCTTACTTCACTTAACATAATCCCCTCCAGTTCTGTCCATGTCGATGAAAATGATAGGTATTCATCCTTTCTGATGGCTGCATAATATTCCACTGTATCTATGAACCACATCTTCTTTATCCATTAATCTATTAAAGGGCATCTCAGTTCTGTCCACAGTGGATATTGCTGCTATGAACATTGGGGAACATGTGACCCTTCTTTTCACTACATCTATATCTTAGCAGTAGTGCAATTGCTGGGCAATAGGGTAGCTCTATTTTTAACTTTTTGAGGAAACTCTATACTGTTTTCCAAAGTGGCTGTACGAGCTTGCATTCTCACCAACAGTGTAAGATGGTTCTCCTTACTCCACGATTTCTCCAACATTTGCTGTTTCTTGCCTCAGTTTTTGCCTTTCTAACTGCTGTAAAGTGGTATTCAGTGTGGTTTTGATTTGAATTTCCCTGATGGCTAACATGCTGAACACTTTTTCATATTTCTGTCAGCCATTCATATATCTTCTTTGGAGAAGTCTTTGTTCATGTCTTCTTCCCATTCTTTGACTTGATTACTTGTTTTTTGGGCGGTGTTGAGTTTGAGAAATTCTTCATAGATCTTGGATAGCAGTCCTTTATCATTAGTGTCATTTGCAAATATCATCTCCCATTCTGTGGGCTGCATTGTTCTTTTGTGGACTGTTTCCTTTGCTAAAAGAAATCACTTTCCCCTTTTTTGCAGGAAGATTTTCCATTTGATTGTTTATAGGAGATTACCACACACTTGACCAAAGACGTTGGGAGACTGGTGAACATTCTGTCTAGGGTCTCTCTGTTCCCTGAGTTTCTCTCTGAAAGAAGGAACAAAATTTCATTTTTGAACATTTGTTGTAGATGCATTATGTGCCAAATCCAGATGTAAGTATTGTAGTAATTAATTTACTCTTCAGAGCAATCCTATGATATAGGATGATTATTGTTCTCCTTTATGGATGAGAAAATGGACACAGTTGTCTGAGGCCGTACTGCTAGCTCCCAGGAGCATTCAGAGTCAGAGTTTATACTCGGGCATTCCAGCTCCAGAGCCCACACTGCTATCCCCTGGATTCTGCTCTCATTTATCCTTAGAGCGCCATTTGAAAGAGGTGAGAATGTAACCTGCTACTATGGCTCATTCCTAGGTTCACAGATAGGATGCCAGAGAAGATCCTTGTGGCACCAGGGTGCCTGTTGTTCCTTGTACCCTTGGCACAACTTGAGTGTTTCAGTTGTGCACCTTGTGGCCACTGTTGCAGAGGATTCATTTGCTGAGCTGGTTTGGGTGCAGAGCTTTGCTTAGAGCCAACATCTTCTAGCAGTCTCTGTCACTGCACGTTAAAACCAAAGGAGAGTTTTCTGAGTTCCAAACCTGGATTTTGAAAATAAAGAAGCGAGTCCAGAAGAACGAGAGCACCTAAAATTATATGCCGTATTCCAGAAGACATGAACAGATATTTCTTCATACAGATCCCAAGAAACACAGGAAAGATGTTCCACATCATTCATCATCAGGGAAATACATATCAAGACGATGATGAGATAACATCTCACACCTATCAGAATGGCTAGTATCAGAACGACAAGGAGTACCAAATGTTGGCAAGGATGTGGAGAAAACTGACCCTGTGCCCTGTTGGTAGGAGTGAAAATTGGTGCAGCCACTGTGGAAACTTTGTGGAGGTTCTTCAACACCTAAACATAGAAGGATCATAGGATCCAGTAATTCCATTGCTGGGTATTTACACAAGAAGAACACAAAAACACTAATTCAAGAGATACATGTTGCCCTGTGTGTATTGCTGCATTATTTGCAATAGCCAAGATGTGCAAGCCACCCACGTGTACAACCACAGAGGAATGGATGAAGATGTGCTATATGCACACCATGTAATCATCCTCGGTCATAAGAGAGCATGAGATCTTGCCATCTGTAGCAACAGGGATGGAGCTAGAGAGTATTATGCTCAGTGAAATAAGACAGAACCAAATACTACAGGATTTCACTTCTTGTGGAATCTAGAAACAAAGCAAATCAATAAGCAAAGAAGCAGAAACACACTCATGACTCCAGAGAACCCACTGATGGTTGCCAGGGGGAGAGGGGTGAGGGGACGGGTGAAAGAGGTGAAGGGGGTCACAAGGTACAAGGTTTCACTTATAAGATGAAAAGTCAAAGATATGAAAACTTCAGTATAGGGAATATAATCAGTAAGAATATAAAAAAATTGGCCCCCAGGAACTACACTTACGTGGTCAGCATTGAACATGTGTAGAATTGTTCAGTGACTATGTTGTACTCATGCAACGTGTGACACGTTGTATGTCAACTATGCAAACAAGGAGAAAATGAATAATTTTCCTGGAGGATTCCACTGAGGATAGCTCACGTCTGCCCCGGAAGGACAGAGATACGCTGTGTTCCAGATAAGTTAAGCCTTCCTGACCAGTGAGGCTCAGCTGCCGTCACCATCCAGGAGTTCACAGAGTTTTGGTTTACCGATGGGAGTACTGGAGGGGACAAGGAGCCTACATTGGGAAGAAGATCATGTAATAATAGACTCATGACTATAGTAACCATTAATCCTACCATATATGATATCACACAAGGGAGTCTGCAAAGGTATGAAATCCTGTAGCTTCTGGAGACTCTCCTGCAAACATGCTATGCATTTGGATACACTGACCGTGAGCACAAGAATAAACAGGTTTGGGGGCATTTGCAGGCTTGGTCAGGAAAGCATGTGACTCTTAATCCTGGGGTTGTAAATTCAATGCGTATGGAGACGACTTTTAAAAATCTGTCCAAAAAAAGAATGAATGAGTTTTTAAACCAAGGGCAAAAATCCAGAGCAGGGTCTCTAACCACTGCAGCCGGTGACAAACTGGGGAAGACCCGACGGACCTGATGCAGCAGAACCACTGCCCTTACCAAGGGAGCCTGCCCACCGGAGGACCATTACCTTAGAGACAGAGAAATCTTGTCCTAGTCAATCAACTCTATTTTGAGATTTCTGTGTCACAGCCAATTTGATTGTCTTCTCCTTCTCCTTGGTGTCCCTTCTCAGTTTTCTGACATCACTTATTTTTTACTATTCTGTTTGAGTACAGCACTTTTGATATATGAGCATCATGTAGGATTCCTTTATCTACCTCAGCATGCTGAGGGAGTTGGACTTTCTCTCCTATCTGACATCGAAGCAGAAATTCCAGATCACAAGGTTCCACCAATCATGTGGGAGCAAGATGACTATGGCCCTGCTGAGCCTCGGGTCTTCCTGCTCTCACTGTGTTTGCTCCCAGGGCTTCCATAATCTCTCTCCATCTCATCATGCATTTATCAATATTCTAAATAACTTTATTAAGAGTCATAAACTCCAAGATCTGTGGGCTCCAGGCTGCTGGATTTGTAGATGCATTTTTCCACATACCATCAACTTTGCCTCCATTATTACTATTTGCTGTTTACTTTCAAAGCCCAATTTTGAAAATACAAGAACCCCTTTTTCACTCAGACAAATGTAATTGAAGGAAATCAAAGACAATTGGCATTGGAATCACTTGAAATACTTATTTTGATTTTATCAGAATTAGATATTTCTACTGATTTTTCTCACCCAGACTCTCCCTGAGGGTAGCTTGTGCAGATCACTCTCTGGACATGTTAAAAGACAGACAGTGCAAGTAGTAGACAAGTAGGAAAGGAGATGGTGAGAAAATACCAATATTACCAATATTAGCAAATGATCCCGTGTTAAATAGAGCCCACACAGTCAGTTCCAATAGGTATTCACTTCTCTGTCCCAGATCTATGTCACCTGTCTGTCTACTAGAGTGGCTGCGTTTACTTGAGACACACGGGCACAGCACAGAGGATTAGGGGAGCCCTCAGGAGCTCCTCTCTTCACCATAACTGGCTCCTCATGGGACAGGACCCCTTAATTTCCCTGCGGCTTCTGACACACCAGGCTGGGCAGCTGTCAGAGCCTCAACATGTGGAGCCAGACACCCAGCTGCAAGCGGCTCCCCCGGGGCCTCCAGCTCCTTCCCCTCACACAGACTCAGAGAACATCCTGTCAGTTCCCCAGAGAAGCTGCTCACTGGGGCAACCAGGACCCCAGGCAGGAGTTTTGTGTTTGGGCCTGAACCACTGTGGGAGGAGACTGTAGATTTTGCACACAGTAATAAACCCCCACATCGTCAGCCTCCACCCTGCTGATTGTCAGGGTGAAATCTGTCCCTGACCCGCTGCCACTAAACCTGTCTGGGACCCAGGAGTAACGGTTGGAAACCAAGTAGATCAGGCCCTGTGGAGACTGGCCTGGCTTCTGCCGGAACCAACCCAAATAGGTTTTTCCATCACTGTGCAGGAGGCTCTGACTGGCCCTGCAGGAGATGGAGGCCGGCTCTCCGGGGGTGATGGGCAGGGAGAGTGGGGTCTGTGTCATCACGATTTCCCCACTGGATCCTAAAGTGAGGAGAGACAAGTGCCAAGTTACATACAAACATTTTTAATGATTTCCATTGTTTCTGTCTCTCTTATTTGAGTTAAAATCCGACTTTGTTTTATTCCCATCACTTGTGACTCTGAGCGTGCACCAAAAATGCACAATCACAATAATCAACCTGAGATTTCTCAAGTGGAGAGAGGCCTCTCATCATTGCTTACAGCATCCACCCCTTCCCTGTCACAATCCCAATCAGAGCACAAGTCCTTGTTCCCTCTGGAATCTTCCTCATTCTCCCAGATCTACACATCCCCTGCCCCACCCTGGAGGACTAGTCACACACCTGCTACCAGCACAGAGAATACACTTGGAGTGTAGTGTGCCCTCACAGTTCTCCCTCCACCTCCACTAATTCTCTTCCTCACCCCACTCTGTCCTTACCAGGAAACCAAAGCATTAGCAGCCCAAGGAGCTGAGCAGGGAACCTCATTCTGAGAGGCTGGACTGAGCCGTCTTTGTAAATCCAAGCAAGATTCAAGTTGGTCTTTTATGTCACACTTGCAAGGGAAGGTCCTCCCTAGGGGACACTATGCAAATCCCCTGCTGGGTGCAGCAGTGGGGAAGGGGCAGGGAGGAGGTGGGAGGGGCTTAGCTTTCAGCAAAGTGACATAAAAGGTCTTCTGTGTTGGGAAGAAAATCACAAAACTCAAGTCCGTGCTACATGCAGCAGTGGGAAGAGGAATCCCACTGTGAAAGCGTGGATCTGCTGTGAGGACACAGCACACGTCCTTCTGCCCTCTCTGAAGGAATCTGAGACCCTGAAATGTAGACTTGTGTGTCCAGGGTCAGTCTTCCTCAGATGAATGGCCAGCTTGTTCACATTCTTCCACCTCATCTACACAAGGAACGGCTCCCACTCCACAAGTTCTGGTCATCAGAATTTTCTAATAACAGCATAGAGTTGAGCTATTTCAAGAATTTTCTGGTATCTACCATTATAGGTTAATCTTTTAGGAATGTTAGAATCACAAGGAATAAATGGTCTTTTCCTCGGGCTCATGGAATTAAATTTTATACAGAAACCAAGACAGAAGAAGTTGACAAGGAAAAAATAATGTGTCTGTGGTAGAGAGAACCTAGAGCCAAGCATAGACCATAGTAAAGGTGAATGATTTCCATGTTTCTGGCTGTGAATATGCATCCTAGAAACTACTATAGGTGTTATAATCTGGGGTACACACACATATGTAGGTACATAGCAGGTCAATCAAAGGGTTTTGAAGGGAATAATTCCCTTGGGATGATAGGACTAATTAAGAAAGGAACGATTTTATGTATAAATTTTTTCTAACAGGTGCTTGGAAATCTCTTTCCATACTGCCTCTTTTTCATCAAACAGAAGAAGGTTCTATCAGGATAATCTGGGTTCTCATTAGTACTGTGTGAGAACCTAAAGCTCCTACCTGGCCTGTCTGTGGGGAAGCCATAGCTATGACCCTACAATCCACGAGCAGAGTCCATGTGTGAGAAGAGCAATGACTGCATCCATTATTTTAATATCTCAAGGCACCCTGGGCCCATCACTGAGCTAGTGCTCAGTTTTCACTAAATACGGGCACTGTGGAATAAGGCCATGGGTCAGAGCTACCCTGGGGTGACCATCTATCTCACCAGACTTCACTAAAGAGGGAACTCACCTAATTTCTCCTCATGTGCCAGCCTGATGCAGGTCATGTTGAATGGAACACCTCTTGACAAACACTGCCTGTGTCAAATTGCTTCTGTCAGACAAACAAAATTCTGGAGCAATTAAAAAAGCATATTTGGGCTTCTTATTATATTTGGGGTAATTTAAATTCACAGTCAGGCTGAACGACCAAGGAAACAAATTAACAAATACAAGTCCAGGTAAGATTCTACAAGAATATGTGGTCAGAATATTGTGAAAGGATTTCCATTTAAAATAGAACCAGTAAATACAAAATGGAAAATCTCACATATGGACCCTTGCAAGAATGGAAATTGAGAACTGGAGACTAATTTCCATTAAATGCCTGATTTACGGAAGATGGAGATTTCTTTCCTGACCAATGAACATCTGCCACGAATAACTTACCATCCTCAAGCCAGTGAATTCACTGCTTGGACTCTGGCTGGACCTTCCCTTCCTTGCATTCCTTGCCCATAAGTACAGCTTGCCCCAAACCCTTAACGGACGCACCTGTGACTCGCTACAGCATGTACTTCAACTCAATTTCCAGTCCTTCAAACTTGCCTCAGTTTACCTCATTATTTAAGATGGCACTGTCTTCTGTGAAATCCACGAAAAGAAGTTTTAAACACATGCTGAAAAAGATAATGAAGCAACAATTATGTTGACCTTTAAAATGTGAACTCTATGGTATCAATCTCATTTGCTGAAATAAATCCTGGTTGAAGAGTTAGATGTAAAATTCTACATGTCCCATATTCTGCCAGTTAAAAAGATAATTACAGTTTTTTTTTAATTCCCATTATAAACTTTTTTGGTTTCTTTGACCTGGTCATCTCTTATGATGTTGAACAATGCAATTCTGGGTCGTACTCCCGCCTTGGGAAGGTACCAATATTAATAAGTGTCTCTATTACACTTATCAGTAACAGGTTGCTGTCCTAAAAAATTCCAGATCTCTTAATTAATCGTGTCATGAAAAAACTCAGAAAGATAAGCACCTAAAGAGGAAAAAAAAGAGTAACAAACAAAAAGAAGTTTTTATCAAAAATGTTAAAGGAAGTTTTATAGGACTCTTTTAAAATGTATTAAATTAAAAATTATATTTATACACTGTTATTGGTTGAATTGTGTCCCCTCAAAAACTATGTTGAAGGTTTAGCCCCTAGTACTCCAGAATGTGGCATTATTGGGGGAAAAAAAAGCCTTGTAGGTATAATTAATTTAGATGCATCATACTGTAGTATGCTGCGTCTTCCATGAATATGATTGGTAGCAGAGGGGAAGAAGAAATTTTCCTCTGCCCAAGATTCTTCTAGCTGGACTAAGAAATTTACATGAGGAGGACACGTATGGCATGGAGCACTGGGTGTTGTATGTAAACAATGAATTTTGGAACACTCATTAAAAACTAATGATGTACTGTATGGTGACTAACATACCATAATAAAAATTTAAAATAAAAAGAAATTTACATGACACAGATTTACAGGAGAAAAAAAAAACAACAACAGGACAAAGCAGGAGAAAACATTTTGTCACATGTGTGCAGGAGCCCAGTAATAACACTCAGACCCTAGGAAATGACCAAGGCAGAGAGCTTTCATACCTTTTAGACAAAGGAAACAAATCTATGAAGAACTGACATCCCAAAGAAAAGTTAACTTTGAGAGCTCCTGTTAGTAAGGAACTCTAAACAAGATTTGGACTGTAGTAGTGACTTAGTGAAAAGTAACAAGGGTTATTTCTACAGCCCTCTAGATTCTACATTCCCTATCTATGACAATAAGGATGTCTTTTTAGCTCCTGGTCCAGGGAAGAATCCTTCCATATGGGAGGTTTATCTCCTGCTTTCAGGGGAACACAGTGTGTCCTCCTTGCACAGGCTGTCCCTCAAGGAATAATTATTTAAAATACTAATATACCAAAGTGGCACATTTTCAGTAGCCTGCACATAGCTCCTAGGTTGCTTTATCAAAAGAGCAGGAGAAAGAACACAGAGGCACAGAGCTACAGAGAGAGCAGACCACGTGAAGCCAGAGGCAGACATCAGACCTATGCTGCCCCAAGTCAAGGAATGCCTGTGGCCACTAGGGCTGTAAAGAAACAAGTGAGGATCCTCTCCCACAGGGCTCAGAGAGGCAGGGTCTGGCCAACACCTTGATTTCAGATTTCATGCTACCAGACCTGTGAGAGAATACACTTCTGTTGTTTGAGGCCACCAGGTTTGCAGTACTTTGTTAAGGAAGTCCTAGGAAATGATGTGCCCACTATCTGACATGAAAATGTAGATTAGGGGAAATTGAGTAATAGTGAGAATCCTGTTGGGTTGGATTTTATGACAGGTCCAGTTTTCAGAAACTCCTTTTTACAAAAGTCTTAAATATGCGTGAGTTAGGAAGTATTGCCTATTTTGGTGAAATTAGCACAAAACCTTTCAAGTTCTCCAAATTCTTTTTTTTTTTTTACTTTCAGTTTTAATGAGATAGAAATGACATCCAGCACTCTGTAAGTTGAAGGTGTACAACACAGTGACTTAACTTACCGCTATTGTGAAATTGTTGTAGTTTTGGAATGTTGGTGAGGTCCCCAGTTGATGGTCAAGAAAGAATTCTTGAGACATCTTTGGTGCAAAAAGATGATTTTATTAAAGCCTGGGGACAGGACCTGTGGACAGAAAGACTTACTGCCCTGGGGTTGTGAGTAGCAACTGATTACATACTTTAGGATTGGGGGAAGTAAAGATAAGGGAAGCTTCAAAATGATATTTATATGCTAAAGAAGACACCTAGGAAACAGGAGGCCTGGATTTTTGCCTCTAGCAAAGCATTAATATGAAGACAGTTGGGAACATCCTGGAAGAACATTGTACTCTGCCTCCCTCAAGTATTTGTCAGTGGGCTGCAGGTTATATTAATGTTATCTACATTTCCTTCTGCCTTTCTTTCCCACATCATATATATAATGGAATATTATTCAGCCATAAAAAAGGAAGGAAAACCTACCATTTGTGACAACTTAAATGGACCTCCAGGACCTTATGCTAAGAGAAATAAATCAGACAGAAAAAGACAAATAGTGTATGATCTCACTTACAAGTGGATTCTAAATTAAAGAAACAAACAAAAACAAAATTAACTCCAAAAAATCAGTTTTGTGGTTACTGGAGATAGGGACCAGAGGGTAGGGGAATTAGGCCAAGGTGGTCAAGACATCCAGGCTTCCAGGCATAAAGGTCTCCAATTTTTATTGGTTGTTTCGTGTCATAATTTGTTATCCTAAAATATGTAGAAAATATAAAATATTTTAAAATTCTCTCTTTGTCAGAAAAAGGCAATGGAATGTTCTGATACTATTCATAAACAGGAAGTACAATACTCCTAATTCTAAAAAGAACTTCTGTCTTTCGTAGACTTATGAAGTACACTATGGCTTGGGCAACAAAACCAACCAGCATCCAACACCAGTCACTCCACTGCACCTAGAAATAATAAGACTCTGTACAGGTTGAAAGAATAAGGAACATGAGGTCCAGCTCAGCACCAGTCTCTGGGAGTCTCCAATCTCAACCATTGTCCACTGAATGAGGAAGGGCTTGGGCAGGTGGGTCTCACTGTACTTTGTCTCTGTTGTCAGATGCTGTTGATTTGAGCTGCATAAAGCTGAAGCCAGCATATGACTGTGTGACCTGGGAAGACTGTCTTGTTGGGTCTGAGTCTGGTATCATTCTGTCACTTTTGGTGGCATGGAGACTTGCACTGTGTTCTCTCAACTTTGTCAATCCACGCAGCCAGGCCCAC